ATGGACGCTCCCGTGCTGTCCCCCGTCACCGTCGAGGTCGCGCATGCTCCTTCCCCTCGGACGGATCTCGTCGCCGGCCATGTTGCCCCCGCTGCCGTCACCCAAGCACACGCCGCGCCGGCCCGCAAGCGGCAGGGCAACGTGGTCGTGCAGGGCGGGAATCCGGCTGCCCCCGCCCCGGCGGCCTGCGCTCCGGGCGCCAACGCCGCAGTGCGATCCCGGCCGGCGGCGGAGAACACCGGCAAGACCGCGGGCGTAAAGCGGAGGAAGGTTCCGGCTAAAAGGAAGCCACCTTCTTGAACCTCTCACTCCATTCCCCCGCAATAAGGTGCTCCAGCGATGCCGTTCAACGGTGTCGCTCCCCCCGCGAGCGAGGTGTTCGACGAAATGGCTGCAAGGTATGCCTCTTCGGTCTAGCGATTCCCTTTCATTTTCGCCATTAGTGTCGATAGCTCGTGACTTGTTATCGTTCGCTATAGCGGTGCTTCGAACAATGCAACAACCGAGTTCGTGAGCTTGTTGGACATGAACGCGGTTGACATTGATCAAGCCCCTTTCGAACCATTCGACTACAATGAAACGGACGACGGCGTGGATGATCATGGTTGTGTGGATGAATTGGAGGAGATCGAAGCGGAAACGTTTGAGGAATCACAATCAAAGAGTGGGAAGAGCCAAAGATCGAAGAACTACACGATCTTGGAAGATCAAGCTTTGATCCAAGCATGGAGTGCGGTGTCTTTTGATCCATGCACAGGTGTTTCTCAAACCTCCAAGAGATATTGGCAAAGGATCGAAGATCAATACTTCCGCATTATGAGAAAGTATCCCAATAGGACTCCACGCACATTTCGGTCGCTTCAAGGGCGTTGGGAGAATATTAAGCCTATGTTCAGCCGTTGGGCAGTTTGCTTGGAGCAAGTACGCAATGCACCTCCAAGTGGCACCGTGGAATCCGATCATGTGAGTTTGTTTTTCCTTTGTTCAAGTTGTGCATCATCAAAATGTATCATGGGAAATAATTGCATCACTTTGTTCACATTTTGTAGGACAAGATTGCTCAACAAAGATACAAGGCCATGGAAGCTTCGGAAGGCAGATTCTTCAAGTTAGAGCATTGTTGGGAGTTGCTCCAAAAGTGCGATAAGTGGAAGTTGATCGATAGAGAGTCCCCACCAAAGAGAGGCTCACTTGCAAACATGGATGAAGACGAAGATGATGATGGCCCAAGAAATGAGCACAAGCTCGATGGCGACAAGAAGACGAGAGAGAAGATCAAGAGAGAGCAAGAAGCATCGAGCTTGAGGGAGAAGATTGATGTCATAGTGCAATCAAACGAGTTGATGTTGTTGAAGTCGTTGGAGATCAAAAAAGAGTTGGCCGAGAAGAAGGCAAAAGAGAAGAAAGAAAAGTGGCAAATGCTCAAGGAAGAGGGGCTCCGCAAAGCTTCCATTGAGGAGAGAAAAGCACGCGCCTCCGAGAACAAATCGACGTCATTGTTGCTCGCCGAATAGAACAAGATCATGTCAATGAACCGCAATGACATGGACAACCTCACCAAAACATGGCATGATATGGCAAGGAGAGAGATCTTGAAGAGAAGAATGGTAGCTTCGGCCGGTCCGTGTTCAAGTTCCGGTGATGTTTTCTCTGCTTCATATGGTGGCAATGTGGATGATTTCGGTGCGGGAGTTGGAACAAGCGAGGGAGGTGGATTCGGTGGCGCCGATGAACTTCAATTCGGTGGAGGTGGATTCCATGGCGCGGAGTGAAGATCGACCCCCCAAGATGATGTCAGACATGGGTGCAAACCTTTTGCATGCCCTCTTTTGCGTTATGAACTTCGCTTTTATTTGCACGCAAACTGTTTATGTGGTTTGAATTTGAACTTGTTTGCCAAACCTATGTCAAATGCGAGATTTGCAGTTTTTATGTTTGCGGGTCTTCGCGGTGGTGACCGAGCAGAACCCGCAAAGCCGACCCGTAAAAAAGCATATTCCGCGAATATACTTTTTTATGGATCCGTTTGGGGGGTCTGCATCTGTGTCAGCCTGCGCCGGCCCGCAAAAGTGGTTTTGCGCGAACTGCAAACGAGTTTTGCGGGCCGGCGGGATGCGGGGTCTGCTAGAGTTGCTCTAACACTTACCTTCTAAACCAATTCCATTTTAATTTACTTACCAAAGTCCTGATCAAAATATATAAGGTAAATCACGGGCAGAATTTGAACATTTATTTACACAAACGCATATTATGGACAGGTAAATCATTTTCGATCATAATATAAGGTAAATCACTGACAGAATTTGATGATTATTTATTTACACAAACACATAATCACACGCTAATGTATTAGAATATTTATATCCCATTGCAAGGTACGTGCATTGTTATAGTAAATCTAAAATAATGTAAATATTTCATTATTCCAAAAAAATTGATTTCAATACTGATAATACTTACTTCAATAAAGTGATAATAATAATTTTCATTACAGTTCATATTTCAATAGAGAAATTAGAAAATCGGTTGGCGGACAATTTAGTACTCACTTAAATAATGGTGAAGGAAGGTGCTAAATTGTTCTATTACAATTTGTGCTTATTTTATATCCGTTGCAACACACGGGCATTTTTGCTAGTCATCTAAAAAATAACTGATATACACCTCCTGTGGCTACAATTGGCATCCTTTCTCGGTTTCGTGTTCTCTCTCCACGACACGGCAAGGTCGTTCGCGACACACACGGCGTCTGCGGAGGCGCCCAAGAGATCGCGTCGGGTGAAGCCAACGGAGTAGAGCCCTGAGTGACCATTCCAGCTATCGGTGAACGAGGTCTTGGGGCAACCGTCCTTCCCCAATAATTCGATACCCTGGAACCACCGGGTCACATTGCTGCGGTAGCCAGTGGCCAGTATGACGGCGTCGATGTCGACGACGCTGCCGTCGGACAGTTCCGCGCCGGACTTGGTGAAGCGCGCCACGCTAGGGACAACGGTAATGTCACCGGACCTGATCCTCCTCGCGATCGCGCACCAGGCGCGCCCATTGTCATTAGTCTTCTTGAACGTGAGCGAATCAACTGCGGGGGTCCGGATGCCAAGCCTGGCGAGGTCGCCGAGTAAGAGCCAGGCGAGGAAGGCCATGATCTTGTCAACGAGAGAGAGCGGGAGCCACCGCATGAGCAGCATGGTGAGATATATTGTGGCGATGCCGACCACGTTTCGGACGACCATGAACGGGATCACGCCACCGTTGCACAGGTCGACGGACACCTCCATGCCGGACTGGCCGCAGCCCACCACGAGCACGCGTTTGCCGATGTAGGACATGCCGGACCTGTAGTCACTGGAATGGGTGACCTCTCCGCAGAAACCAGCTAGGCCCGGGATGTCCGGGACGACTGGCTCAGCGTTGGCGCCGGTGGCCACAACCAGCCAGCGGCTAATGTACTCAAACTCGGCGGCATCTTCCGTTTCCGCGACCCGTGCCCGAATGTGCCACAAGCCACCAACCTTGTCGAAGCGCGCTGACTGGACGGTGTGGTTGAATTCCGGCGTGATGTCGAACGTGGCGGCGTATGTCTCGAGGTAGTCAATGAATTGGCGGCGGGTGACGTACTCCGGGTAGTCAGCCGGGAATGGCATGCGTGGGAGGTTGCAAAACTGCTTCGGGTGGTTGAGCTTGAGACTGTCGTAGGTGCGCTTCTGCCACAGCGAGGCGATGCAGTCCTCTCGCTCAAGCACGGCGAATGGCACGCCGCGCTCGCGGAGGCTGGCCGCAACAGCGAGCCCTGACGGGCCAGCGCCGATGATGACAGGGCCGTTCACCCACACGCAACGTGGGGAAACAACAAGCCTACTCATTCTCTCCAAGGATTTCTGCATATATATGAAGAGTATTGACAATAATACTGGTGGTTAAGATTATTATAACAATTAACATGCATGGATGAGGAGTTGAGGACCTATATAGCAAAGGATTTGCTTTATTTTCTCCATGTAAGTTATAAATTGTTTCTTCGTGGACACAAAGGCAATGTTATAGGTGAAAAGAAATTGCCCATATGAACGCTGTCACCAAAATTACCTTGAACATGGTTGAAGTTTTGGCACTACTAACCTTATCTTGTTCGTTGATAATGTTCGCCTCAATCTTGGCCGCAATGTCACCACCGATCTTATCCACTTCATCGACAAGGTGACCATCAAGCTTGTCTTGTTTATCCAGAATGTCACTGTAATTCTGATTTGGTTCGTTAATAATGCCACTGTCAATCTTATTCAGTTCATTGACAATCTCGCTTATGCATGGCCTTTTCTCTTCATCCCTCTCCACACATCTTGTTGCAATGTCCATGCATGTCTTCAGTTCCTGCAATGTACCGGACGGCATCGTTTCATGCAACCTCTTTGCCCAGTTTTGGTGCAGCTGCAAAATTGAAAAGTAACGCCAACTTGTGATAAAAATCAACAAAAGTGGTCCGGACAATATATACCGGAGCTTTGCAGGTCTGCTTTGGCGATGCCCTGAGGCACATCACACAACCTAACATTTATGAAAAAAATATACCTTGAATAAATTTTCTTACCAGCTTATCAAATTCTTCAGAAGACATATCTGCAAATTTGGAGTAACCATCAGGCCCAGCTATTATTTTTATAATTATAACACCCAAACTGAATATGTCAAATTTTGGTGTGATTTTGCCTCTTTCTATGAATTCGGGAGGCATGTATCCACTGCATGGTACAAATACAATTACATCAACAGAAGAGTTAGTGAGTTAATCAAAACAACTTCACAACTTCCTATTTACTAGGAGCTTACAGTGTTCCTATAATTTGTGTCGTGATATGGGTCTGTGCGGAAGCAAAGAGTCTGGACAAACCAAAATCTGCAATTTTTGGTGTCATATCTTTGTCCAGCAGTATGTTTGCGGGTTTTAAATCCAAGTGGCAGATAGGATCTTCTGATCCTGTATGGAGGAAATTTAAACCCTCTCATACACCTTTTATTATTTTGTACCGTGTGTGCCAGTCAAGTCCGCATAATTCATCTGTAGAGAAAATAGAAAGTGTACCAAGACATTAGTCTGGTAATATTATTAGATGACATGCAAAATAAAAGTCTAAATAGAGGGCCATCATACCAGAAAGATGCTGGTCGAGATTTCCACCTTGCAAGTATTCATAACAGAGTAGTCTTTCTTGCACATGAGCAAAAACATATTTTCCTTTGTGCTCTACACGTTCATGTCCTAGATAGTAGCAGTAGCCAACTAACCGTATAATATTTTTATGTTTCGCTCCCATAAGATTGTTGAATTCGTTCGTAAATTGCTTCTCGTCAAGCCCAGGCATTTGATGAAGCTTCTTCATAGCAATCTCTTCACCGTTATCCAATACACCCTGTTGAAAATTTCATTGTAATATATAGTATGATCATACCATTCAAATAATAGAAGATGTAGGTACAATCATACACTACCTTGTAAACTACTCCAGACCCACCACGGCCAATTATGCTCTCCTCAGAAAAATGATTTGTAATATGGTCTAACAGCTGGAGTGTGAACTCCGAGGTCATCCCCTCTATTTGTTGTAACTCTATACTCATGAAGTTCTGATGTCCCATTGATCTAACAAGAATTACTTCGGCATAAGGTAAGAACATTTATCTTTCAATTTAACATACTACTTCAGGAAAACCTACATTAATCTAAAACTAAAAAAACATCCAGGTCAAAAAGAAGATAAACGCATCAAAGGTCAAAAAGGAACAAGAGAAAAGCATCTAGACTTATCAGGTAATCACATTGGACATCAAAAAAGACAATTATATTGCTGCGATTGAGTACACCCAATTAAATTAGTGTGTGTCGTCTTAGCCCCATATAAATTACTATTTATCACATCAGGCATATTTTTTCGTTAATCCATTTAAATTCAATAGAGTAATAGAAACATCAAATTTAGCCCAACATGGGCATTTGCATTACAGCTTTAACAATATACAATATTTATGATATAAATGATGTTTGCACTTAGTATCCCTCACTATCAGATGCCTTGAACATGGATAAATTGGCCGAAACCCAATAGGAGCATGTACTAGTTTGGAGACTAGGTGTAGCTAGACACTGCACATCTAAAATTACGACCACCCAAGCATGCGAGAAATGATAAATTGCCCAGGAGAGCTACACCAGGTCAAGAGCATCTTTGATTGGCAAGATTTTTGAAACAAAAATTTATGAAAAGTCACTATTCAAAAAATTGTCCGATTTATCACTACTCATGGGGGTGGCCGATAAGAGCTATGTATATGTATATATATATTGTTGTCCTATTTTGTTTATCATTGTAGAAGTATTGAAACCGAAGTAATCAAGGTAACACGCTTTCCAATATTATTTTTGTGCTGAATATAGCATCCTTTTAAACCCTATAATGCTAGAAAAGCACAAAGATTCAGATCTTAAGGCTTGTGGGATTTCTGTCCATAGGATTTCTGTTGGAGTTTAATTTGGCTAAAGGAGCAAAGAATTGCTCAAAATGCTTCAGTTACAGAAAAAAAGATCAAAGTAAGCCAATAGATAGTAATCTTATACAATAGGCAAATCAAATGCCTCATTGATAGAATAAACACATGAAACAGATTAAACTTGAATGATTTTGCTATTTTGCGGTGTGAGTTAATAACATTAGAAATTAACAAAGGTTTCATTAGTAGTACAAAAAGCAAACCATTATTAGTAACTGATTTTATCACACAAAGCTACAACTAGCTAGTAAGCTTTGTGCATATACATGTTAGTGACCGCCTTGTAGTATGCATGATTATAAAGAGTAGACAAGTATAAGTTCAAACTTAAATAACCATTCAGGTATTTGGGAACTTATTTGTTTTGAGAAATTATCGCGATGCTGAATTGATGTTTTCAGTGAAGGCCATGTAAAATAATCCAAATATGTATGAGACATATTTGACTCGCTTGTTACATTAGGACTTGGCGTGTGGTTGAATAGGAAAGGTGAGGTAATTTCCCTTGCTTCCTTCCTTGTCATGTTCTCGTGTATGTGAATTAGCATTGAGACTAGTGAAAAGCCCACGTATCCCAAGTTTATATTCCAGTCCCCGCACCAAAAAAAAAGGTTATTCCAGACAGACTTGTGTGAATTAGGATTAAGACTAGTGGAAAGGCCATACTTTGTTCCAGGGATCAAGTATTCCAAGGTTATAGTCCAGACAAGCCATGTGAAATTGTGAATTAGGAATATGTTGAAGACTAATCGAAACTCTAGCTTTGCCGCCCCCTCCCCTCTCTCCCATCCTCTTCCCTCGCCGTCCCCGGGGGCGGCGGTGAGGCCCTTCTTCCTCCTCGCCGGGGATCGACATCACGAGTTGTGGTCGCCGTCAGGGATGCCGGATGCGGCGTTGACGTGGGGCGTGCCGGCGGCGTCACATGCGCTCAGGCGTACGGTGGGGCTGTGGTGGCTGCGCGCGCGCAGGGGGTGTGTGGCGGCGTGCGTGCTGGCGGCCCTCGTCGACAACGGATGCACGGAGGGGATGCGGCGCGTGCGCTAGCGGCCCTCGTCGATGACAGATGCACGGAGGGGATGCGGCGCGCGCTTCACTAGAGGGGGCCTCTCGTGCAGCTACTATCGTGCCATGTCGGTCCGTCTGTGTCCTGGGTGGGCCTCACCCAGATCTGGCGGGTGGCGGCGGCTGCCCCTCTGGCAGTGCCCGGCTGAGTGGGAATGGCCACCGGGAAACTGTCCCTGTGCGTGGATGTCATCTGCTGCACCGCACTGGGTCTTCTTTGTTTCCTCTATCCTTGGCGAGGAAGGGTGTCGTGGTTGGATGGTAGTAGACCGATGCTTCGTTGGCGAGGTGGAGGTCAGGCGGTTGTCATAGGTGGTGGTTCGGGTCGCCGGCGCAACTGTGGCTGCGACGGTTTCTGGTTGGTGACAGGGTGCGGGTGGTGTGGCAGGTGCCCCTTCTTCTCTTGGGTCTAAACCGGCGACGCATGGGTTGCTCACGCGTCTGGGGTAGCGACGACCTGGGGCTGGTGATCGAGAGGGCCAGTTGTGGTCCTGAGGCGGTTCAGAGGCTTTGCTCTAGGCAGGTGGGGTAGGCTTGGTCTAGCTTTCATGTTCGGTGGTGGAGCTCGTGTTAGCTTTGCGTCAGTGCACGAATCGGCGCAGCTAACCACATTCATGTCGTAGTGTGTGCTCGCCTGAGCAAGGGCTCGGCGCTGGCTAGCCA